AAAAGGCAATGACCATGTGAGGCCAGGCAACCAAACTTTTGTCCTTAGAGCAAATTATTTAGTGCGTCAAAATCTTTCGGTCTGGGAACTAAAAGTCCAGTGCCCAGGACCAAAAATGTTTTTCTCAGTGTGTGAGAAAGGCTGAATCAGCTCTGAGCATTCACCAGAGATAGCCATAGAGGAGAAGGACAAGGACGACGGTGAACGATGTAATCCTCGGGGCGTCATCAAATGTGCAGCCATTAACGTTAAGTGGGGTGAAAATCGAAAGGCTGCGCGGGGCTGCGGCGGCGGGGCGTGGCACGGGGCGCCGCTGATGACTGCCGGCGATTACGCTTTTAAAACACATCCACGCCAACAGGGCGCCCCCTGCAGCCCCGCCGGCGGCCCCTGTCTTACCAACATTATCTCTTTTCATTCCCATCCACTAGCCCGCTGCGCGAGCGGCTCATTCCGCTGCCCTTTTCCTTCCTCTTTACTCCCCCCACCTCCCTCCCTCCCTCTCCCTCTCTCTGTCTCTCTCTCTCTCAACATTCCGCGGCCGGTGCTGAGCCTCGCGCACTTCTGGAACGGAAGGAACCAAAAGTTTGGCGATCTCGTCGCGGTAGAGGAAAGGAGAAGGGGAGGGGAGGATTCCTGCGGGTTACACTGATAAAGAAAGTGAGCAACCCGCGTGCACATGCAAGTGCTCCAAACACTACGTTGCACACAGAATTTGATCAAGTAAAAAATTTGCACAATTTGTCCAATTTCGGGAACAGAACTGCATCCGGTCTATGGATGTGCACTAAAGGAAAGGTTTCAGGAACAAAATTAATTCTTCCTTGACATTTAGAGTGTATAAATAACGTGTGCAGCGTCGCAGCTGCCCTGTGTCTACTTTCCGTCCGTCTGCCCACTGTCTGTCTGCTGTCAGTCTCTTTCCCCTCCGCCTTTCCCACGCGTTGCTTTCTGTCACTCAGAACAATACTAACCCCCTGCTCAGGTGAGGTACGTAACGCATTGTCAAGCTGACAAACACGGCTGTGCTGGTGACACTCTGTCATTGTGCATCATGCGTTTCACGTAAACTGCCCAAGCATGATATCCCTTTTTACTTTCTGTGAGTCTGTAGCTGGCTTTTATACCACTACCTATTCCGTTTATGCCAGAGGTGAAATGGGGGAGTAGAGTGAGTGAGAGAAGGGTGAGGTGAAAATGGAGTTTTGAAAGGATGGCAAAACGTTCATCAAAGTATCTAAAACTGGGGGAAAAAAGCTTCAAAGGAGACAGCTATTTGAGAAGCACCGATCAGCAGCGGTGAAGAAAACAACTAGGTTTGACATTTATACGTGACAATTTCCTTCATCATCGTTTTTTGTTGTTGTTGTTTTTTTTTGCGAGAGGATGTCGCTTTTTCTATATGCAAAGAGAAATGCATTTTCACGGGGAGTAAGCGAACCCGTACTTATGGAGGGTTCTTCACCGCTTCACCCGGTCCATCCGAGAACTTTTGTTTGGCCGGGCAGTGCGTCCGGGCGGATGTGGATGCACGGCGGAGAGGAGGTAAACAGGGCGGCGAGGTCCTGCTGCGGTGTAAGTGATTGAGGGGGAGGAAGAAGGTAAACGGGGTGAGGAGGAGGGGGGCGAAGAGGGACGGAGGAGGGGGATAGGGTTGCTTTATCGGGTTTTGCCATGCGCGCGAGGCTCCGTCCGTCCGGCTGTTCCTCCCTACCACCACCAACACCACCGCCCGCCTCTCTTCTCCACGCCCCCCCCCCTCCTTCTTCCCCCTACCCCGATAATCTGAGTTTAATTGCGGCGCGCAGTCAGTCTAATCAGAGAGGAGGGGAGTGGGAGAGGCGCCGCCGTCCGTCCGCCTCAATTTCTCATACTCGCCCGGCTCTCCGTCCTTCCTTGCACACGAGGGCGTACAGTGTACAGTACACTGGCAGGACGGACCGGCGGGCGCGCATGTCTATCCATATGCATGCGTGCGATGCTGTGTGTGTGTGTGTGCGTGTCATCTGCATATGTCCTGCTAACTTCCGGCGCTGTAGTCAACTTTTTGGGCGGCGAGCGCATAGCTGCGGAGCCGGGGAGTACAGTAGTCAGGGGGCGCGCGCCGAGTCGCTGGCACGGATGAGAGATTGAATATGGGGGTCGCTGCTGCGCCGCCCTGCCCGCTCCGACCAGCCTCGCCACACAACCCCGCAGTCGTCCTCCCCCTTTCCCCTTTCTCATCCAACCCCCTCAAACCCTCTCTCCAAACGAGCTACGCCACTTCACGCCCCAACCTAGCAAGCTCGCTCGGCTCCCTCCCTCTCGCCACACACACACAGACACACACACAGACACACACACACACACACACACACACACACACACACAGAGGCGTTGCATGTTATCCCACTTACCGTTGCTTTCATACAAAACTAGGTAACATGCCTTGGCACACTGACCTCAGAAATGTGTGTGTGTGTCTGTGTGTGTGTGTGTGAATGCAGCCGTGTTGTTGGTGTGTCTGTGTGGTTGGCAAAGTGCACGCAATGCTGGCCCTCTGCTTCCTCCTTTACGGTAGGGAGATGGATATGAAGTTTGCACAATAACCACCACCCAGCATGCCCTACACCGGCAGCAGCGGATGCCTGCATCCCCCCCCCCCTCTCTCTCTCTCTCCTCTCTGTACAAATAAAATTTAATTAAATTCAATTTCCCATCTATATGTCTCTCTCGGGGGCCTCCTCCCTCTCCCTATCATCCACTGGATAATGCCCACGTGTAGGTAGCACAGTGCAGCGATTCTGATGCGAAAAAAAAAAATCGCTTTGATGCACTTTAAATACTCCTGGCTGCGTCCGAGAAACCTTTTCCTCCCTGCTTCCGGGGGCCAGAGCAGCATGCGCCGCGGCCTTGCGGACGCACGACGTTGTTGGGGGTACTTCCCCCGTGCTCTCTGCTCCGCTCCGCTGCGTGGAGAAATTGTAGTGTAGGACACACGCGGGGAGTGCTCCCGGCTGCCCCCGCCCGCTCAGCTCGGCAGGGCAAGGCGGGTGAATGCACTCGCCCCGCTTTCTTGCTACTCCCCCCC